CATACATGTGTGTTAAAGGGAGAAATGGATAGAGACGATGGAATTTGGTGTGATTACCCTCAAACTACTCCAAGTCAAGTCCAAGTTTTCTGTGACTACCATGGTTTCACTGGAAGTAGCTGGTATTTTATTGGAATATGTGATAACGTGGGATTATACCGTTATGAAATGCAAATGCTGGTACTGTGAGAAGAGAACTCTCATAAACCAATTCTTGAATCCCTCACGACCGATGAAGATCACAGCACAGAACTGATCTTCAGTAACCCATGCTTGTCGTGTGAGGCGACTAACGGGATTGGGTGGTCAGGCTCGCTGACTTCGTTGACACATTTCATCGTATCCCAATAGCGTAGATCAATGATAATGCTGTTGATCACTGGATTGTCTGGTCCAGACTCGATAATTTACAGACCGCCGCCATATAGCTGGAATATTGCTGAGTGCGGCGTGAAACTAAACTCACTCATTCACTGAATCCCTCGAACACTGTTTAAAGTCGAGCATTCCAGATGCACGACAGCGTTCTGTCATATCGAGGCTGGTTCAGACTATACAGTGGTTATCTGCTGGTCCAGTGATTGATATCATGAGCATCTAAATGTCTCAAAATGACCATCCGATCCCGTTAGTCGTACTCTAAAGTCAGCGAGCCTGACCATCCGATCCCGTTAGTCGCGCTTTAAAGTCAGCGAGCCTGACCATCCGATCCCGTTAGTCGCGCTTTAAAGACAGCGAGCCTGACCATCCGATCCCGTTAGTCGCGCTTTAAAGTCAGCGAGCCTGACCATCCGATCCCGTTAGTCGCACTTTAAAGACAGCGAGCCTGACCATCCGATCCCGTTAGTCGCGCTCTAAAGTCATCGAATCTGCTCATCCGATCCCGTTAGTCGCGCTTTAAAGTAAGCGAGCCTGACCATCCGATCCGTTAGTCGCACTTTAAAGACAGCGAGCCTGACCATCCGATCCCGTTAGTCGCGCTCTAAAGTCAGCGAGCCTGACCATCCGATCCCGTTAGTCGCACTTTAAAGACAGCGAGCCTGACCATCCGATCCCGTTAGTCGCGCTTTAAAGTCAGCGAGCCTGACCATCCGATCCCGTTAGTCGCGCTTTAAAGTAAGCGAGCCTGACCATCCGATCCCGTTAGTCGCACTTTAAAGACAGCGAGATCTGACCATCCGATCCCGTTAGTCGCGCTTTAAAGTCAGCGAGCCTGACCATCCGATCCCGTTAGTCGCGCTTTAAAGTCAGCGAGCCTGACCATCCGATCCCGTTAGTCGCACTCTAAAGTCATCGAATCTGCTCATCCGATCCCGTTAGTCGCACTCTAAAAGACAGCGAGCCTGACCATCCGATCCCGTTAGTCGCATTCTAAAAGTCAGCGAGTCTGCCCATCCGATCCCGTTAGTCGCACTCTAAAAGTCAACGAGTCTGCTCATTCGATCCCGTTAGTCGCACTCTAAAAGACAGCGAATCTGCTCATCCGATCCCGTTAGTCGCGCTTTAAAGTCAGCGAGCCTGACCATCCGATCCCGTTAGTCGCGCTTTAAAGTCAGCGAGGCTGACCATCCGATCCCGTTAGTCGCACTCTAAAAGACAGCGAGTCTGACCATCCGATCCCGTTAGTCGCACTCTAAAAGACAGCGAGCCTGACCATCCGATCCCGTTAGTCGCACTCTCAAAGTCAACGAGTCTGCCCATTCGATCCCGTTAGTCGCGCTTTAAAGTCAGCGAGCCTGACCATCCGATCCCGTTAGTCGCACTTTAAAGACAGCGAGCCTGACCATCCGATCCCGTTAGTCGCGCTTTAAAGTCAGCGAGCCTGACCATCCGATCCCGTTAGTCGCGCTCTAAAGTCATCGAATCTGCTCATCCGATCCCGTTAGTCGCACTCTAAAAGACAGCGAGCCTGACCATCCGATCCCGTTAGTCGCACTCTAAAAGTCAGCGAGTCTGCCCATCCGATCCCGTTAGTCGCACTCTAAAAGTCAACGAGTCTGCTCATTCGATCCCGTTAGTCGCACTCTAAAAGACAGCGAATCTGCTCATCCGATCCCGTTAGTCGCGTTTAAAGTCAGCGAGCCTGACCATCCGATCCCGTTAGTCGCACTTTAAAGACAGTGAGCCTGACCATCCGATCCCGTTAGTCGCGCTTTAAAGTCAGCGAGCCTGACCATCCGATCCCGTTGGTCGGGCTCTGCCCATCCGATCCCGTTAAAAGACAGCGAGCCTGGACCATCCGATCCCGTTAGTCGCACTCTATCCGATCCCGTTAGTCGCGCTTTAAAGTCAGCGAGGCTGACCATCCGATCCCGTTGGTCGGGCTCTAAAAGACAGGGAGCCTGACCATCCGATCCCGTTAGTCGCACTCTAAAAGTCAGCGAGTCTGCCCATCCGATCCCGTTAGTCGCACTCTAAAAGTCAACGAGTCTGCTCATTCGATCCCGTTAGTCGCACTCTAAAAGACAGCGAATCTGCTCATCCGATCCCGTTAGTCGCACTCTAAAAGTCAATGAGTCTGACCATCCGATCCCGTTAGTCGCACTCTAAAGTCATCGAATCTGCTCATCCGATCCCGTTAGACGCACTCTAAAAGACAGCGAGCCTGACCATCCGATCCCGTTAGTCGCACTCTAAAAGTCAGCGAGTCTGCCCATCCGATCCCGTTAGTCGCACTGTAAAAGTCAACGAGTCTGCTCATTCGATCCCGTTAGTCGCACTCTAAAAGACAGCGAATCTGCTCATCCGATCCCGTTAGTCGCACTCTAAAAGTCAACGAGTCTGACCATCCGATCCCGTTAATCGCACTCTAAAGTCAGCGAATCTGCTCATCCGATCCCGTTAGTCGCACTCTAAAAGTCAACGAGTCTGACCATCCGATCCCGTTAGTCGCACTCTAAAAGTCAGCGAACCTGCTCATCCGACCCCGTTAGTCGCTCTGGCATTGTAATGGCATTATACAACGCCAATTGTGAAAATACTGAACAAAAAACAGTCACGGCCATATTGGGGATATTTTAAGAAATGTTATACTCAGTTTTCGCTCGCAAATACGCCCTATATAAGTCATGATCCCCTTTTTGTCCAGTGTACATACGTGTGTACCAGAGGAAGAAGATACTATCTTACCATCCATAACAAACTCTCAGAGATATGTACTGTGATGGCTTTCCATGAATACATGCTATTAAAACTTTATACCAACATCCTTTGAGATAATTTGACAAAAATAGACCAGATTCGGCGCGGTTTTGAGTAGCTCACATAAGATCATTGACAGCTTTTAAACACACATATATATATATGTGAAATGAGGTCCAATTGAGTATTAATACAGTTTCCTTTTAGTTTGTAATAAATGTGAGTTATGTAAATCTTGCTGTTGAGACCGCCCATAACGAAGTCAGGTAATATTGCATCATTATTTAATAATACGACAATGTACAGGTATCTTTTGTCAACATCGTTTCATCCGGTACACAGCTTCTTTCGCTTTATCTCTGATTAAAAAGAGCGATTGGATGATGACCCGGTGCTAAGCTAAATTATACATAAAGATACACTATTACAGTTCTTGTATAACCACACACACCATCTTTTACTGTTTTAAGTGAGTGAGTTTGGTTTACGCCGCCTTTAGCAATATTTCAGCAAAATCACGGCGGGGGACACCAGAAATGGGCTTCACACTTTGTTCCTGTGTTCCGGGGAATCGAACCCGGGTATTCTGTGTGATGTAACTAACGCTGTAACCACTAGGACACACACACACACACACACACACACACACACACACACACACACACACACACACACACACACACACACACACACACACACACACACACACACACACACACACACCCCACACACATGTTTAGTGACACACACAACAATTCGCTTTTACTAATAACGCATTGGTAGCTTAGTAATTTAATTAGGCGTATGTCCACAGAAAAAGAAATGGTGATCGTAATCCAGGTCACACAAAGCGATTGTTTCGTCATTGTTGGTTTGTTTGTTGTTTAACGCCGCACTCAGCAATATTCCAGCTATATGGTGGTGGTCTGTAGATAATCGAGTCTGGACTAGACAATCCAGTGAGTCACAATCAAAACACTTTCTAAATATTACGCTGTTTTTAGGAAACATTTTACCAAAGCATCAGGTGAGTACTTTCTTTTGTACGTCAGTTTATGACAAACATCTTTTCGAAAGCTGTTGTGTTTTTAACGACGAAACACGTATATGGACTACTGTAAACTAGCTATATTCACTGAGTCTCTCAGTCATGTGTGGCCCAAGGGTGGTGGAGTCGTCCAAGGCCCGTGTTCGATTCCCCTACACGGGCACAATCTCATATCTGATCCTCCACCGTGATATCGATGGAAATAAATACAACCGGCGAAAAAACACTCTCACTCAAACTCATAACCAGTTTTGGGACACGACTGGAAAATCGTGTAAGGGCCTGCGATTCGCTGTACAGATTTACATGCCCCCAAAACGATGGTCATGGGTTCGAATCCCGGGCGACCCGACTATGTTTCTAGGTTTGTCAGCACCAGACCCGATAGTTTCATCAATGTGGCAAACCTCAAAGACATTAGCAGGACTACTGCTCAAAGCGCTGTAAAACCAAACTCACCAACTCCATGTTGACCCCATACCCGATCACGATACCCCATACGACTACATTTGTAAGACATTGAACTGGAATCGATTCTTCGATTTTGTACGACCAGGTATGGCCGTGTCTTTACAAATATGTATCCTTTCAATACCAGATTCATTAAAACAGCTAGAATCGATCTGTCGTCTTATAACTACCAAATTGCCTTTCGTATGACATAAGATCCTTACAGTGACAATAAATATTGAATAAGTCTAGAACCATTGACAATGCCAGTACACAGTCATGCTTCATTGAACACGCACTGTTGGGAGCTTGTATTCAGTCCTTTGAGTAACCAACATACTTTTCTCTTGACGACGTGAAGACGGCCGTCGTCTACATCGGAGATAATCTAATCATGACATATGCTGTTTATATTTCAGTCATTGGGTCGTCTACTACATAAAGGATTCTTAACTGGCTGATAAATAACCATGCGCCTCCATGCAAGTTCGATTTCACGTCAACACCCTACTCTATATTGACAGAGATATCTATTTAATGTCTCCAACAAAAGATTAAAGCTAGCAGCGAACGTATACATTCAATAACATGGATAATTCATTGACGGCGGTTCGGCAACAAAGAGTGCCATCGGGCTTGACAAACGACACGGCGGTGGGGAGAAGCTCAGGGGACAGGAACGCTGCGGACGAGGGTGGTGGATCTAGGGACAGAATACCAGTGGCTCCTTACCGAGAAGGGTCGGAACAAGGTTACGGTGCCAAGAGGAATGACGTAATTGTTGAAGAAGACGAACCAGAGTCAAAAGAGAACTCGCGTCCATGTAGTGCCGATATCCGTGGTTTAGAAAAAGCAAGAGCGGTGAGTCGTAGCGCTGTGAAACCCAAACCCGTCGTCGACGATGACGTAACGACTGAGACCGACAACGCTATCGCAACTGCCGAGGCTCTCACTGAGCTTATCGAAGAACGCCTTCGAAACATCCGAGGTAATTCTGATATCGGACACAGAAGACCGTTGTCTGGAACCAAGTCTCACAGTAGACCTTCAAGTGGCAACTGTCAAACTGGCCCTCCTTTAAATGGTGAAGGTAAAAGTAACAGACCTTGGAGTGGACACAGGTTACGTCAGTTAAGTGGGTCACCGGACAGCAACAGGAACAAACCGGGACGTCCGTTAAGCGGAACCAAACCCCGACCTCAGAGCGGAACACCAACCTCCCGGCCATCTAGTGCTGTAGACAGTCCGGGTCGGGGGTTGAAAGGTAGGGAGGCTCGTCTTAATGCTCAAAATGTAACAAAGCCTGTTGGAAACTACATTAATTCCCGTCCATCGAGTGGAGTTCACAATCAAGCCCCGATTACTGCTATCTTACATACGGGTCCCAGACCATCGTTCAGGTCCTTCTATCAGGTATCCGACACGGTCTCCAGGATACGGAAATGGAGCCAGGCTAAATACCGGCGTCGCCAGGCCTTGGATTCAAGAGGGTCCTCAGAATCCAGAAGAAGCAAGCGTTCCACTGACTCGCGGAGATCTCGGCACAGCAACCGGCGCCATCAGGACATGGCTGATGCTATTGACAATGCTGAGGAGTCGGAGGCGGCTGCCAAGAGAAGGGTGAGTATTGTAGCGAGAATGTGACCATGCTTTAACGGTACCATACAGAATGTGGGCGGTGGGTAGGTTCGTGGTTAAAGCGTTCGCTCGTCAACCCGGAAACCCGCGTTCGATTCATCATATGTACAAAATGTGAAGCCCATTTCTGGTGTCTTCTGTCGTGATATTGCCGGAATATAGCTGAAAGTGGCGTAAACTTAACTCACTCACTCACTCGGAATCCCGGAGACCTGTCTACCATTTTTGTTTGACGCTACTTATATAGCGCCATGCGACAGTGTGACGTTATTCATAAATAGAAAAATACTCCGCTTGCATTTATATGATTAAAATTGATAAATCTTAAAATTGAATATCAAACATTTCATAAACATCGAAAAATTGACATACAAATATTACGCCATCGGGGACACATTTTAACAAATGTCCAACCATCAATGGAAGCATAAAGTCACCATTTCCTTACGATAGCACTTGCTCCCTGTTACTTAGGAAGGAGTAACTTTAGTTTTTCGCCGCTTTTAGCAATATTAGAGCAATATTCCGGCGGGGGACACCAGAAATGTACAAAGAAAGGAGCTCGTTCACATTTAAAATGGGAGAATCGATTCGGTTTGCTGTGTTCTCGTTTGGTTTACTCGGCTTGGGGAGGATCATCAAAATTTGGTTTTGCACGTGTGTGTCCAACTACTAGACCCAGCACCGTTTCGTATAATTGAATCCGGGGTAGAATAGGTCTTCAGCAACCCATTCTTGTCATAAAAGGCGACTATGCTTGTCGTAAAAGGCGACTAACGGGATCGGGTGGTCAGGCTCGCTGACTTGGTTGACACATGTCCTCGGTTCCCAATTGCGCAGATCGATGCTCATGCTGTTGATCACTGGATTGTCTGGTCCAGACTCGATTATTTACAGACCGCCGCCATATAGCTGGAATATTGCTGAGTGCGGCGTAAAACTAAACTCACTCACTCACTCCGTATAATTGACAGGTTGGTTTATGCTGCAGTCAGTGACGTCAACCCCTTATGTACTCATATTCAATCTCCATTCTTTTGCAAGTTGGTAGACAAATAGTGCGGGACAAATAACCCTGCATGAGTTGATAGCATGAGCATCGTCCATCAATATAACGACCATTGACACCGAAAACTAGGTTTCTCGATCCAAACTGTTTCCATGTTGGGAAATCATCATGGCACTTCAACCCCATTATCCTATTGCTGAGAATGTTTTAAACTGTTGTAAATAATATATAGTTTCATCATGACCAATATCAGCATCTCACCTGACACAATATAACACAGTCCATATCTGTGTTATGACCTGGGTCCCGGAGTACAAAACATCCTTAGCGTGACCAGTCTTAGTTGATCTCCCATACCTTAACAATAACTTGCGACAGTCTTAGTGCTAAGGTTGCTCTGTATAACGGCACCCTGAGAGGCTGTGTCACAGACACTCAGCTGTGGCTAAGAGTGAGTTAGTGAATATGATTTTACGCAATAGCAATATTGCAACAATATCATGGCGGGGGACACCAGAAATAGGCTTCATACATTGTACCCTTGTGGGGACTGGAACCCAGGCCTTCGGTGGATCGAGCGAACGCGTTAACCATTAGGCTACCCCACCGCCCATCTGTGACTAAGAAAACAGAAATGGAGACTGCTGTGTGTCTAGCACTAGGACAGCTTCTGTTGCTAAACAGAGCGCTGCATACCTGCCTGCTCGTCACGCCCATTAACTGCTGCACATGTAATTCTTCCAGATTGAGAAACAACAAACACTGCAATACCTGCTTGGGGCTTGTCATTATGTTCATTTCATTACGTAAGTTTGCCTGCCTCGTGTACACCATCAATCATTGTTATCTCTGATCGACACTAATACGCACTAATCAATAAGTCACTTACAACAATGGGACAAACCATAATGCATGTTTGCTTAGATTAACACGGGGGCGGTGGGGTAGCCTTTGTGCTAATAGCGTTCACTTGTCACGCTAAAGACCTGGGTCCATACATTGGTACTTTGTGTGAAGTCGACAGGTTTTTGTGATTAAAGTGCGTTTATTATGAATATATATCTTTTTAAAGTCACGATATGGCTGACATATTGCCGATGTGATTATAAATCTTAACTCATTCACTCACTTTGCGTGAAGCCTATTTCTGCATGAAGTGTATACGGATCCAATGACAGGGTAAATTGTTTTTGCTTCAGGGAATTAATCAAAACGCATTACAAGTATTCCGTGACCCGTGAAGATCCGGGTTAGAATCCGGGTACACCATGCTTGTCGTAAGAGGCGACTAACGGGATCGGGGGGTTAGGCTCACTGACTTGGTTGACACATGTCATCGTATCCCAATTGCGTAGATCGATGCTCATGCTGTTCATCACTGGATTGTCTGGTCCAGACTCGATAGTTTACAGACCGTCGCCATATTGCTGGTATAGTGCCGAGTGCGGCGTAAAACTAAACTCACACACTCACTCACTTGTATTAGTACTATCACTGTATATACGTATGACGATTGTATGGCGGATTGAGCAGGATACCCACCTTGGCGGAAACGACAGACTGACTGACTGAGTTTTGGTTTTACGCCGCTTTTAGCAATATTCCAGCAACATCACGGCGGGGGACACCAGAAATGGGCTTCACACATTGTACCCATGTGGGGATTCGAACCCGGGTCTTCGGCGTGACGAGCCAACGCTTTAACCACTAGGCCACCCCACCTTGCGGGAACGGGTATCGTGTATTTGATAGGGATCCAGCAATGTATATTTATCATATATCATAAGGTATATGGGATTTGCTATAATGTTGTAAAGGGGTATGACGCTGTTTAATAGACGTCCCTTGGTGTAACTATCAGGTACGGATTACAGGGGTTAACTGACCTGGGTGGCGAGCAAGTGTGTGGAAAACAAAAGGATTTGTTCGCGGGGTTTATCGTGCCATTTACAACGTTGTCAGTAATACCTGCCAAGACAGATTACATTGTTGTCGTACAGAGGATGAACTGTACTGACACCGACACTATCCCAGACTAAGAGAAATCAATAATATATCACTGACGATATCGATCTTACGACGTCCGGCAATTAAATATATATTCCAGTGTCACGTTTCACAAAGTCCTTTTGCACAAACACTGTTGTTTGCTACAACTGAATCATAATTATCATAATTATGATAATGCTGACAAGATTATCGACCTTTACATATGAAAGTTGTATGAGAAAAGATCTTAAAACCATTGATAGCTCTACTGCCAATCAATATGTTCCGCTATGATGAACGTATGATACCAGAAAGTTAGAAAACACCTGTACGTGTCATTTCTATCAACATCTTGATCTCTGTCCTCCTATAATTAATAACAATAAAGAGGCATTTGATTATGAATCGTTTAGTAACCAGTGCCAAATGTAACATGTTACATGTGGTATTACATTTTCTCAGTAAAGCACAGAGTCTAGTACTTTTGAGGTTGAGTTCTATTCGAGATTCGAACTCACACCTAATCCCCGCACACCAAATTAACGATCTATTCCACTCTTTTCAGGTTTTCACATTAAATCTCTGTTTTCATGAGAAAAAGTAATCTTAAATAACATATATTAAAGAAACATAATTATGAAATAGCAAACAACTATGACTGCCTTGTTTGCTATAGTTTGGTGTGTGTGTCCGGGGTGGGGTGGGGGTGGGGTAGGATAGCGGGGGTCTATTTAAAGTAAGTGAAGGTTGGTATTCTATAACCAACGTAATCCTTCGTCTCATACAGAAAGTGAATGGTATTAACCAGTGTACCTATACATCAATGAATCGATTTCCACTTTGTGTGGCTTCACTGGACTATGAACCTTCATTGACTGAAGGTCAATCGGTTTGAACGGCGGTGCTTGTGGCAGTGTTCACGCAATGTTTGACCCCCAGTGTATGACGATTCGTACTGGGTAGAAGTCACATAGCGAAAGCCAGCTCCTATTGAAACTATAGATTACCTGGCGTTAGATATAAAAGCTGCACATTGTAATACGTTCCGACACTGGTAATATCAGGTGGAATCGTGACACGTGTAGGGGCTCGGTGCACAAATGTTAGAAAGGGAAACACTGGTTTTAAGTGAAACAATGTGCTCGCTGGTCGTGAGAGGGTCGGGTTCGAATCTCTCATGGGTATAACTAGCTTTCGTGATTCTTCTTCGTTATTCAACCGAATTTAAATTTGCTATGTTCAATTTCATTTACCATCACATAATGAGTAAGAATAGCAAACAACGGTTACAACGTTAACTTCTGTAAGAAGTATGGAAGTACAGTATAGACAAACCTTATGGATAACAACTTCTTTATTTCGTGAGTGCGACGTTCCGATACAGATGGGGCGGTGGGATAGCCTAGTGGTTAAAGCGTTGGCTCGCCATGCCAAAGACCCGGGTTCGAATCCCCACATGGGTACAATGTGTGAAGCCCATTTCTGGTGTCCCCCGCCGTGATGTTGCTGGAATATTGCTAAAAGCGGCATAAAACCAAACTCAGTCAGTCAGTCAGTCCGATACAGATTCTTGTACCGTTGTCACGCAGGATCACTGGAGCATTCCTCATTGACAACGGAACAAGACTGTGTATCGAAACGTCGCACTCACGAAATACAGAAGTTGTTATCCATAAAGATTGTCTATATTAGGGCTGTGCATTGGCAAATACATTGTATTGCAATATATTGCGATTCGGGTACCCATATTGCGATAAACTGGTACCTTAAGTGTTTGACAGTGAGTGACACTAATTGTACATATCAATCCTATTTTCTGTATTATAAATCCCTAAACATATACTCATGCCAATAATGGTTGTCACACCCTTCAATTTTTTTAATTTGAGAGGGTGGGTGTGTGAGGTGTGTGTGGGGTTGGGGTGGGGAAGGGGATGACAACCATTATTGGCATGAGTATATATTGTTATGGTTCTGATAACAACAATCTCCAAATCAGGTTGAATAGTCATGGATTCTGTTTTCTTGTTTATACAATTCATAATGTTAGTCTATGCCGTTTTGTCAGTGTATAACGAAGAAAAACTTTTGTTGTCAATTACAGTATGTGTTCATTTTAATTTAAACCACAAAGATAAGCACAAATATATGTTCTTTACCCAATATACCGGTTCTCAGAATAAAATATTGCAATACGTATCGTTTGAAAGCGTATTGCGATAAACCTGTATACGGGTAATACCGTTCAGCCCTATAGTCTATATCAAACGGTTATAACGAACTCAAATGTATGGAATCCTGTGGGACATTGTCGCGCTTTGGTTAATTTTGCCTATTTTGCTTGTTTTTTGAGAGGGCGACAACGCGACAATGTCCCTTCTCGGATTCCATACAAACGGACCACTAATATTAACTCATTATTAGCATTTCGACTGAAAAAGACCAATTCGTTTTAAGCGTGTTCGTTGTAAGGGGGCGGTGGGGTAGCCTAATGGTTTAAGCGTTGGCTCGTCACGCCGAAGACCCGGGTTCGAATCCCCACATGGGCACAAAGTGTGAAGCCCATTTCTGGTGTCCCCCCGCCGTGATGTTGCTGGAATATTGCTAAAAGTGGCGTAAAACCAAACTCAGTCAGTCAGTTCGTTATAAGGTAGTTTACAGAACAGCCGGCACAGCTTCTATCTATACCAAGACAGGTAACACTAAAACTGTGTGTATCGATTCTTTCGGGGAACCAAACACAAATAATGTGGCATAAACAAACACTACGTCATTGCTCCTCTAACCATGACTTGTCTCAACAACAGAGGCTGAGATGTTTTAATTGTTTTGTAGAAATGTTAGAAATTAAGTCACACACCGTTGTGTCGAACCTTGAAGTGTCGAACTCACGGTTATCTCGAAGTTAAGCTTAGCTCCTGATTATATTTAATTTAGTCATCATTTTGCGGTTATGTCGAACCTCGGATGACTCGAAGTATCTACGTAGGTGCCGAACACTTCGACACAAATGCGTTTGACTGTAATGACCTACATTGTCTGCGTCCCTGTTTCAGCGGACAAGAACCTTCGCATGGTACTCCCGTGTCATCAAGGCCGTGGTCAAGCTATGCCTGGATATGCAAAAGCTCTCGATGCAGAAAACGGAACAGACGCCCATCTCCGAGATGTACTACATCAACATCAGCGGCCCCAGCGCCGGCAACGATGACCCAACGCAACAACTGTTCTTTGACAAGTCCTGGTTTTCGAGGAAGAGAGCGGTGCGCAAACAAATATTAATCTCTATCTTTTCACAATCCTTGCACGAAGTAAATGTACAGGAGAACGTTTGAAATGTGAGGGGCAGTAGGTAACGGGGTCATCTGACAGTTACTGGGGAGAGGTATTCGGCGGTATGAAGGAGGTATTGGGGGGATAATGGAACAGTAATGGTGGCGTTGAGGTAAGGACAGGGAGCTGTTGTATAAAGCAACCTTAGATCTGCGTCTGTCGTAAGGCTTGCTTGCTTGTTTAACGCCGCACTCAGCAATATTTTAGCCATATGGGGGCGGTCTGTAAGTAATCGAATCTTGACCAGTTATCAACAGCATGAGCATCGATCTACATAACATGTGATGACATGTGTCAACCCAGTCAGCGAGCCTGACCACCCGATCCCGTTAGTCACCTCTTACGACAAGCATGGATTACGGAAGACCAATACTAACCCAGATCTTCACGGGTCTGTCGTAAGGAATTAGATCACCTTAACGCTAAGATTTTTTTGTACAACGGCACCTAGAGCAGTATTGCCCAGCACGTTGAGGTATTGGTGCAATATCGGAGCAAATATGTAGCGATATGGGGGAAAGGGTAGAACTGTTTCAGATGGGTGGGGAGGGCAGTTTTTAAAAGTATTTTTGTCAAAGAAAGCTTCCTGCAGTGTATGAAAGAACATTTGACAACGGAAACTTGCCATGGGTATTATATTACAAAGCGATGATTATACTTCCAGTGTATTGGTTCAGGATATACTATTCAAATATATCTTGCAATTTAACGAAAACGTTTCCGATCTCATTCTTTATTGACTTTGCCTCTACTGCAAAGGATGTAGTGTGTGTGTACGAATATTTCTAATTTACTTTGGTTGTTTTATCAAATCAGTATGAATGTGTTTAAGGGAAGGTGCGACTTTCCTTTTTGTTTAGAGTCGGTTTCAATTAATCGCCATACGTTTGTTAATTTATTAAAAATCAGTATGAACATTCTCTGAGAATTTGTGCCAGTATTTACTTTATATCTTGCTTACAATGTTCAGACATCCCGAGTGCCTCTTTGGGCCCAGGCAGTCACAATCAAACACCCCAACTTCCGCACGGAAGAGGAAGTTCAGAGGTTACATACGCTTCTACTGAACATGCGCAGTTTCAAGGAAAAGTTCACAGAGGACATGCGCCTGAAGATGTGCAAGGTCATCCGGTACACTCAGTAAGTTCACTTTTGTATTATGGTACTTGTGTTTAAACGACGACACATCACATTTACGGCTAACCTTCCTAAGGTTCTGAATTTCAAACTGCACAAGTAAACCAAATATCACCTTACTTTTACAAGGAGGAAACGTAGGTCGTGTTGAACAAAGTTCTGTATAACGAACGCGTGGGACAGATGCTGAAAATATTCCCAGCAACCTTGTTGGAAGGAGGATCGAATTTTTAGAATTGTTAATTATTAATATGTGACACCATACCACAGCAACGTCCATTGATAGCCGGGCTGGATGCCACCTTGTACTTAACCAAGGATCCGTAAAAGATCCGAGTTAGAAATTGTGCTCAGCAACCCATGCTTGTCGTAAGAGGCGACTAATGGGATCGGGTGGTCAGGCTCGCTGACCTGGTTGACACAGGTCATCGTATCCCATTTGCATAGGTCGATGCTCATGAAGTTTATCACTGTATTGTCTGGTCCAGATTTCATTATTAACACACCGCCGTCGTATTACTGGAATATTGCTGGGTACGGCGTTACACCACACACAAACAAACAAATATAACCATCGCTCGATTATACAATGGCGGAGGTGCAGTAGAGGTATAAAGCATTCACCCATTTGCTCACATCCAGTCTGAATGCCTTCGTGGTGTAGTGGATAAAGCGTTTGCCCGGGGCGTTTGAGAAGGCCGGTGGTTTGATTCTCGGGAGTGTCATACCCAAGCAAAAGAAGTTAAAGCATAATGCTTGGAATCCACTATTAAAACGCGTGTGGCAGTATACTGTGTCTGAGTGGGTTATCCATGTAATAACTGTATGGTATTTCAGGAGATAACACCATATTAGTTGGGACAAACACACGCACGCACGCACGCACGCACACACACACAAACAAAAAACCCAAAACAAAAATAAAACACCAAAAAAACCTCCAAAACAAACAAACAAGCACACACGCACGCACGTACGTACGCACATATACTTGCACAGACAGACACCCACAAATAAACAATTTACTCATCAACAATATCTGGCCTCCTCCAGGTGCGATGCGGGCCGGGTGATACTGAGACAGGGCCACTACGGACAAGACTTTACTTCATCTTCACCGGGTCCGTGTTTATCCAGATCGACTTGGAGGACCCTACACCGGCACTGTCACCACCACCACCGAGAACGTCATCAGGAACGGGGAATCCTTTGGGGTAAGGCCTCTCGATGTGATTTTGAATTCTTTTAAGACCACATGATGTGATTTGGGGCTTAGGAACGGGGAAATCCTTTAGGTGAGAATGGGAAATCCTTTTGAGGGTGAGACCACATGATGTGATTGATGCTTAGAAACGGGAAATCCTTTAGGTTAGAATGGGAAATCAGATTTCTGAAAGGCATTATAGAAATGTACGGTTTGTAGGTCCCTCATTACTGTTATCACGAGTTCAGCTAAACGTCCATGGCTGTTCATAAGTAAAAGCGAAATTCAAAATATCATAGCTCACAAACGTAATGGCCCACTTCACACATTGATGCATAAACATGACGATATTGAAACATAATGAATCGCACATAAAATGATGAACAAACAGGACAACGCACCACATAATGGTATACAAACAAAATGAAAATCAGAAAATTAATGATTTACGAAACATAATAGTGGACAAACCAACAAAGCATTCATTGATGTTGCAGTCGCTGTTTAAAACACTTGTCCCAGTCTGCGACGTTCATCAATGCACAGGCACACCTAAGGCAAAAGCCTCGCATCAAAGTATATATTTTACGCTTGATAACAGGGATGGACACACAATGTCATTTAGAAAGAGGTCAAATGTTACACATGTTACATTTGGGATTACACTTTCTCAGTAAAGTACAGATTCTAGTACTTTTGTTGGGTTGAGTCCCATCCGGGATTCGAACCCATATCCTCAGCGTCAGGCACCTACTCGCCAGCACACACAGTCAGCCGCCTTACCCGCTCAGCCACCACGGCTTCCTGATAACAGGGGATCTCCATTATCTGATAACACTTGATAACAGGGAGTCCCCACTATCTGATAACACTTGATAACAGGGAGTCTCCACTATCTGATAACACTTGATAAAACAATCACTCTCGGCCACTCTCCTCCAACCCAAACCAACAAATTAATCCCTAATCTATGGGAGATAAGCATGGCATGATTAAATCACCGTATTGATAAGTTACAAATCAGATTAAATCGTTACCACATGCCGCATCACTCTCCCCAGGGAATAAATGTTTGGTTCCAATCCCATAATTCCCCGTTCTCCAGCTTCTTCCGGTGTGCACAGGTCAACTGTTCTTGTATGTCACGAACTTAGGTAACACCTATGTGTTGTAGGTTATTAAAGATTCATTGCCTCATCTCATTTGTGTTTGGATACCATAGTACTTCTAAAAAACGCAGTATAAACAAAGCGTTGGCTTCCATGATCGCTTGAATTAGGTTGGTATAAATAGAACGTGTAAATGAAATAAATATTTTATGATTCAACAATCACTGTTCCTTGTGCTTAAAGAAGGAAGAACCAATCCGTAGTGAACGATAATTGTATCCGAATCTTCTTTTCCGTATTGATGCAGATTATGGACAAGGTAAGTCTACATTTGGAGACATATTTTTGTTTAATATAATGATATTGCTTCGGAGAGTCGTTGGCAAGTAGTATTAATCAACACTATCGAAGATAAACACACTACTCACTGACAAACGTTAATATTTTATGAATGTCCACCTCGTCTACGATTAAACATTCTAAAATGCGTCTAATGAAATATGTTTTTTGTTAATTCTAGTACAGTCTATACAAACCCAAGTTTCACAACATTTAAAAAATTACAGAACACCTTTATTGGATATGCATCCTCACAAATATACTACATACCCAACAACCATCTTCAATCATGAATTACTAACGCCTTCTTGAAGTACTCAAAGGTCGGACAGAAAGTTTTAGGGGAACTACGACCATATCAATTTACACAGATAGATATCATTAATTACGTCCTTCACGTAACACATGGTCCGGAAATATAAGGTGATTAAGATTTGGGAGATATCTCATATTACCCGTGGCATCAGATCAGCGTTCTAGTTGCAGCAATGGAGATCATATATGGCGTGCTTGATACCTTACCTTGTAAACATGGGTCTTTGTTTAGGGAGCATATATGTCAAAGGTAGGTTTAATTACAGGAATATTTGTACTTGTTTGTTTCTTCTGTTTATTTGTTTAGTGGTGGTTTCTGTGTCATAGGTTAGAATGACTGACATAATACAAGTGATTTCTCTGATATGTCAGTCATCACATTATATCGAAGTCCACATAGGGACTTCGTCCTTATTAGGAATTTGAACATATTCTAGGAACGGGATTTTTTATCTTGAATATACCCTTATAAACTGTTTATCTTGCAAATACAACTTCTTTATTAAAAGAGTACAATATCATACTATTCTTTCAAAACACTCAGAAGAAGGGAAAATATGTAATCAATACATCTTCATATTCAATTTTTGAGAATATTGGTTCCTACTTCGTTAATGCCTTCATATGGAATATGTATATTAATATGTATATGGGCATGCGACCGTCATTCGTAATAAGGATTTGATGATGATGATGATCATGATCATGATAATGATGATGATGATGATGATGACGATGATGAATAGTCTCCTTTTTTTATCCCGTTATCATATTTTCAATATTTACCAAGAGGGATAAATTAATTTACTCTAAGAATTATTAAAATTGTCATGTATTTAAAATTTTAACTCGTAAGATTCACTAAGAATAATAAGTGTAGATTAAATCATCAGTTAAACAGAATTATACACGGATGGATTGGATGCGTTTGAAGAAATATTGTGAAGAATAAAAACATGAAATAGTTATTATATTTACCGGGAAGATTTTGGAAGTTTATCTATTTTCACATTTCAAACAGAAGAGTTAGAAATGAATTTTAGAGAACATTTGTGGAAAAACCTATCCCATTGGGAATGTGTTCGTTTCGTAGTTTATGATAAATTCAAGAGTTATCTGTCTTAAATGTAAGATTACATCCTGACCTATTTTTGAGCTGGCAGTTCAAAGAATTATTTATCAGCGCATAAACATTTGAGATGAAATTTTTTGATTATTTTCAAATAATTTTATCTCACTTTTCTGCCATTTTATTTCAACAAGTTCAAAGAGATGTTTGTCAGTGATAAAACATTTGAGATAAAGATAGCTGTCATTTTCAATTGATATAATCTTACGTATTCGTTATGTGTATGTGTATGAGATCAAAAAGCTGTTTATCAATTTAAAATGTTGATTATTTAATTTCAGTTTTAAAGCCCCCAAAACTTTTTTGATTTTTGATTAGAAATTACCGATGACTCTTGTAGTATCCCGTAGTAGAATACTTTACTTAAGCATTCGACTTACGGTAGTCGTAAAGCTAATTAAGATAGCTTTGTGGCAACGGCACCAGTGCAGTCAAAGGTTCATGAGACGTACATATATCATCATGAATTTTATGAATGGCTTCATTTATGCAACGTTTACAATCTACTACAGCTTGTTCAGCTTGACCTGATCAAGTGAAAACTAATGAATTACATGACCGTGTCACAGCTGGTTGGGTCTATTATTGTGAAGGGGTGCACCTTTGTCAGATGATTGGTGTAAACGAGTGGACTGATTGTTGTGCCCATGTTGAAATTTGGAAAGCGATTACTGGGACAGAAATATTGCAGTTGAACATGAAATAGAAAAAGTGATAATTGAACTGGGTGTAGAGAGTGATAGCGAGAGTGAATCGGATTGTGAAAGTAACTGACGTCTGTAAGTTGTAAAGTTAGCAAACCAAACTAGATAGCATATGACTGTATAAACAATTCAATTAAAACATGACATGATTGGGTTTTTTTCAGAAGTGTTGTTTTCCGGGACAAGTTCTGTAACGAATCAATGTATGCATACTTCGCACGAACGCAACATTAATAACTTTCTCTGCACCCCTATTTAATGAAGATAACCCGATCTGCCGTTTGTGCCATTGTTTTAAAGTTGTTCATTAATTCAATTCGAAAAAAATGACGTTTATATTGTTGTAACAAAAACGTTTGACGATATCGATTGTCAGATTGTGGGTGAGGTTTGATGGAGATCTTATCTACTGTATTTATTGTCAAGAATGGCTGAAATCATCTAAATGTATGATTGACAACTTCGAAGTTACCAATAAAATAACAAAGTAGAATGATTGACGGGTACTAGAGCAAGACATGATTGACCCTTTTTGATGACACGCAGTATCATGGCTGATTTTCAGTGAATAATTAATATAACTGTCTTCCATCTTTTTCCTGTTTTCCCAATGGAATCTGTTTGGGCCGATAATCGATATTATACTGGTATGACTGACTGACTGAGTTTACTTTTACGCCGCTTTTAGCAATATTCCAGCAATATCACGGCGGGGGACACCAGAAATGGGCTTAAATATATACTGGTATAAACGTTTTGAGATAACCTGTGTGATTCTGTACCCAGGAAATCGCTCTGATGGGGACGGGGAGAGGTCGGCTCTGTGTGATCTGTCGGGAGCCGACGGAGTTGTTCCAGATTGACAAGACAACCTTCATGGATGTGTGTCCAGGTATTTTCAAGGTGGAGCTGTCAGAGAAAATGGCATTCGCAAAGTAAGCATCGTTATCACTCTACTGTGAAATATAATTATTTTCTTATCAGGTCAAAACATGTTCACTAAATAATTTGATAATCAAATAATGTACTAATGATTCTGCATACCAAATGGCGCTGACAAACATTGTCATATATTTTGTGAGGTCATTATCTGTGATGACGTCACAGAATATATGGGGTCAAATATATCTATATATATCCGTCTATAGGGGCCTGAAATGTGACATGTTAATTCAAATTCCATAAATTTGAAATAAATATACAATTTAAAAGCATAAGCAACAAAATCCCGATGATTATTTGGTAAAGCGATTCTCGAGAAAAGTATTCTATTTGTTGCATAAATTAAAAAGCCGTTTATAACAACCTGTATATATCTGAAATTACTCGGAAAAATAACACAAGTATTGAACCACTAACTTATATCTGTCAACACTTGTTTTCTCCCCTTTAGGAGGTTCCCCATCTTCAATGGTTGGGACCATGAGCAGTTTGAGAACCTGTGCTTCAACTCCCAGGTGCTCTATATTCCCCACGGCCGCACCATTGAGCAGGACTGGTCAAAGGCCAACTACGTGTACTTCGTCATGACCGTAAGTAGATCTGTGACGCCATCCTCGGCAACCACGACATCGTTGGTTGCAGTGTCATGGCCCGAGCTCAATGTATTGGCTGAACCGTATCATATATCCATATAGGGATCTCAGTGCTTGGACTATCGTAGTTCTATGCATGGGTAACGCTGCAAATATAAACAACCGTTGTCTTATATTTTCAATGTCATTTATGTAATATGATTGATACTGAGAGCATGGTCGTCCCCACATGGGTACAATGTGTTAAGCCCAGTTCCACCGCCGTAATAATACTAGAATGTTGCTAAAATCGGCTTAAAATCCAACTCACTCGCTCACTCACTCTTAGTCACTGCTCCTTGTCTTTGCCACTGGGTATAACAGTCAGTCTCAAATTTCCTGAACCACATTATTTCACTACTGTCTAGCCCTCCCTGCAATGCAAAAGCCCTAAAAGAAGCAAGTCTAGATTACCCAAAGGTTCAGGTTCTAAATCTCCTGTCTCACTCGGGCTCTTTTTCAGTTTGAAAGGAGATATTTCTATCAGGGTGATATATATTCAGAGACTAAGCATCAGACTAGGAGCATCGGTTTGCCAGTCTTGTAAGGCACCGCAGTTCGCTATGCATAGTTGTGTCCATTCAGCCTGTAAGGAACCTGTAATTTTTGGTTGAAATCTATTTTTTGCGCAAAATATTTTTCTAGGTTTTTAAAATACCCGTATTCGTTGGTTTCACCCAAGTGGTCATCGTCTGAGACCTGCTCCACTTCGGACTTTCTTCCAACATCGAGCTGATACCATGTGATATTCCTGGAATATTGATCAAAGCAGCATAAAACCCAACTCATTCACTCACTCTTTGGCCCCAGTTACTTATATTTGATCGGCGTGTTATCAGGTTGTATGTATATTCTTCTGTTTCCCAAGGGGCGGTGACATATCCCGGTGGTTAAAGTGTCTGTTCGTCACGCTACTGACCCGGGTTCGATTCCCCACATGGGTACACTGTAATAAGCCCATATCTTGTGTCTCCCGCCGTGATATTACTGGAATATTGCTAAAAGCGGCGTAAAACACAATTCACTTACTCTGTTTCCCATCTCCTGCCCATACTGAGCTTTCATTCCCTCGTGAAATAATAATGTTTTCTTATCTTAATTCTCGACAATAAGTGGATTGTTTGTTGTGTATCTAGGGCCGGGTTTCGCTGCTGAAGCGGTTCAGTGTCAGCGACATGCTGGACCTCACGGCCAAGGGCATGATGGACAAAGAGCTGCACTACCGCAAGCCGGAGAATGAGGAGGTTGGAGGAGGCAAGAAGAAACAGGCCTGTGTAGGCTGCATCAGAGAGGGAGAAAGCACGGTGAGGGTGGGGATGGGGAGGCAAGAAGAAACAGGTCTGTGTAGGCTGCATCAGGGAGGGAGAAAGCACGGTGAGGATGGGGGTGGGGAGGCAAGAAGAAACAGGCCTGTGTAGAGGCTGCATCAGGGGGGAGGAGAAAGCACGGTGAGGGTGGGGATGGGGAGGCAAGAAGAAACAGGCCTGTGTAGGCTGCATCAGGGAGGGAGAAAGCACGGTGAGGGTGGGGATGGGGAGGCAAGAAGAAACAGGCCTGTGTAGGCTGCATCAGGGAGGGAGAAAGCACGGTGAGGGTTGGGATGGGGAGGCAAGAAGAAACAGGTCTGTGGGAGGCTGCACCAGGGAGGAAAAGCACGGTGAGGGGGTGGGGATGGGAGGCAAGAAGAAACAGGCCTGTGTGTGGCTGCTTCAGGTAGGGAGAAAGCACGGTGAGGGGAGGGGGATGGGGAGGCAAGAAGAAACAGGCCTGTGTAGGCTGCATCAGGGAGGAAGAAAGCACGGTGAGGGTGGGGATGGGGAGGCAAGAAGAAACAGGCCTGTGTAGGCTGCTTCCAGGTAGGGGAGAAAGCACGGTGAGGGTGGGGATGGGGGAGGCAAGAAGAAACAGGCCTGTGTAGTGGCTGCTTCCAGGTAGGGGAGAAAGCACGGTGAGGGTGGGGATGGGGAGGCAAGAAGAAACAGGCCTGTGTAGGCTGCATCAAAGAGGGAGAAAGCACGGTGAGGGTGGGGATGGGGAGGCAAGAAGAAACAGGTCTGTGTTGGCTGCTTCAGGTAGGGAGAAAGCACGGTGAGGGTGGGGATGGGGAGGCAAGAAGAAACAGGCCTGTGTAGGCTGCATCAAAGAGGGAGAAAGCACTGTGAAGGTGGGGATGGGGAGGCAAGAAGAAACAGGTCTGTGTTGGCTGCATCAAAGAGGGAGAAAGCACGGTGAGGGTGGGGATGGGGAGGCAAGAAGAAACAGGCCTGTGTAGGCTGCATCAGGGACGGAGAAAGCACGGTGAGGGTGGGGATGGGGAGGCAAGAAGAAACAGGCCTGTGTAGGCTGCATCAGGGAGGAAAAAGCACGGTTAGGGTGGGGATGGGGAGGCAAGAAGAAACAGGCCTGTGTAGGCTGCATCAGAGAGGAAGAAAGCACGGTTAGGGTAGGGAAGGGGAGGCAAGAAGAAATAGGCCTGTGTAGGCTGCATCAGGGAGGGAGAAAGCACGGTGAGGGTTGGGATGGGGAGGCAAGAAGAAACAGGCCTGTGTAGGCTGCATCAGGGAGTGAGAAATCACGGTGAGGGTGGGGATGGGGAGACAAGAATTCCTGGTCGGGGTAACCTAGAACTAACCATTTTTTCTAGGTTTCAATTGACCTCACTTTGAAATATAACCTCTGGATTCTGGGATAAGGACGTAGGGGTCGAGAATGGTCAATGGAAGGGGATTGTCTGGAGTGGTATGTTCAGGGGATATACATGTAGTTTGGGGAGGTGATGGTCGGGGAAGGGATGGGATGGGGGCGATCAGAAAGTGGGTTTGAGGGATGGTTCCCAGGCTGGATGGCCATCAGGAGGGTGATGATTCAGGACTATGGGTATATGCACATGTCTAACACATTGTTGCCGGGATGGGCCACAGGCCTTGGTGTCGTTGATTAGATATTTCCAAATCTGTTAATATTACGAATGTCAGGAATGCACTCCAAAGAGCTGCTTTCAAACACGCCCCGATCTGGTACGGGTCCTATATCGCCCATTTGCGCCCAGTTGGTTTCAAAGTGGTGAGTCGACTGCTATTTGTCTATCACCAAGGCTTCTCTTCAGAAACAGCGACACAAGGCTGGTGGTATTGCACCTAGTATCTGGCCTTGTGTAGGATATAGGATGTAGCGATATTTTGTGATGTCTGAGACCGTGAAGATCCAGGTCAGAATTGATCTTCAGCAATATATGCTTGTCGTAAGAGGCGACTAACGGGATCGGATGCTCAGACTCGCTGACATGGTTGACACATGTCACCGTATCCCAATTGCGTAGATCGATGCTCGTTCTGTGAATCACTGGATTATCTGGTCCAGACTCGATTATTTACAGACCGCCGCCATATAGCTGGAATATAACTGAGTGGGAACTATGTAAGCAACGACACATGAGCCTGTGGGATAAGTCAGTACATAAAGCCATATGGTCGTCGTTGTAGGACCTGCGTCTGCTGTCGCTGGAGCCTTCCTCTTCCATCGCCTCCATCACACTGTTGAGTGAAGGTGTAAAGCTGCTCAGGGTTGCTGTTAGGACGTTCAAGAGGATGTGTCCTCGGAGACAGGTTGAGGACTACCTGAAAAAGGACTACACGCCCATAGAGTGAGTGTGCTTCCATGAACAGGATTAATAACAGCTGAAGGTGGAGTGAGTGAGTATGGTCTTACGCCGCTTTTAGCAATATTCCAGCAACGGCTGGGGAACACCAGAAATGGACTTCACACTTTGTACCCACGTGGGGAATGGTACACGGGTCTTAACTTTAACTGAGCTACCTTTGCCCCATGCTGAAGGTGGAACAAAACATTCAAATGGAAATACTGAACTAAACTCACTCACTCACGAATTGATACATATACGTCCACCTCTATTTTCTGAAGGTTATTAGCCCTATGGATAAAGTGCTTGCACGTTTCGATTCCTTAGACGAATACAGTGTGTGAACCCAGCACTGGTGTTTTCCGACGTGATAATGCTAGAATATTTTAAGAACGTCATAAAACCATACTCTGTCACCGTATCTCCTTGGGATGCTGTATTCAGCCAGATTATAATGTTTAATATTTTAACATAGCCTTGCTGGTATGTTTGAACCCAAATCACTCACTCTATTGTTGCAGTATCCCATCGAACTCCGAGATCTGCGAGAAGGTCTTCAAGGATACCATCTGGACGTCGTACAAGAAGAGCGTGGTGCGGACGGTGGAGTTGGAACAGTCGGGGTTTGCCATCGCCCACCTCCCCGCCACGGTGAAGGGGACAAGTGGGTGGGCTCGGTGGCCTGGATTTGATGACGAGGCTGAGGAGAAGACAGGGCGCCTTACCTATAAGACCACCAGATCATACGTAAGTAGAGAGCGACTTTTTGTGCTAGAAACGAGTATATCTCTATTTCACGTCGTGTCAACTAAATGTAAAACAGTAAAGCAGGTCGCACGGAACTCCTTTCACGAAGCAACCTTGTGAAGACCCATTTCTGATGTCCCCTGCCATAATATTGCTGGGATATTGCTAAATGTGACGTAAAACCAAACTCACTCACTCAGTCACTATAACCTGGACAGATTGTGCAAGCAAATAACACAGGCAGACAATGTATCATGATGTTTCTAAACATACATTTATACATGTTTAAAAACAACAACTAAATTCTTACCTCTGAGATCTTCTCTGTCTATGAAACTCGTAGCTCAAAAGGACCGATCTCGTCATGCCTTCGCCATCTTATATATTCCTCGCGACTAATTTCAAAAGATTATCCCCAGTATGACAGCCTCAAACGCACGGTCTGCGAGTACCTGCTCTGCAGTGTGACAGATACTGGGCGGAATTAACAGAAATATTCTTGTCCAAGATATTTTTATGGATTAATATTCTTGTTGATTTCCGGCTCGTCCACGGATTGTAACTCGGCCCCCGTAAACGACGGTTATTTTTCCATCGTCGTATTGTCTGTATCTTAATACGCCACGCCGACGCAAGGAAATGATTGGAGCTTGTAGTTTGGCAAGCATGACAAATCTTAACGGACGCTCGTGCAAGTGACATATTAATGGAAATCTTCCTACACAAAAACTGGAGTCTTGCCGATAACTGGACACAACTAATCACATATAAATATTTTGTTTCGGAAAAGCAGGAAATGTGCATGTAATAATTATCTGGGATAATAATATTTTGGTTAATTGAAACATTTTTCGAGACGCAATTTTCATACATTCAACAACAACAAAATAAAACGCCTTCTGCATTTGTAAGTAAGGGTAAACAACTCTTCGGATACCAATAACTTGTTTGTTTCATTTGGTGAAGTTTTTATGTACAGTCTTACACGTTATTAAGCTGGAGTTCCCATGTACTTATATTCTAATGAGGCGCGGGGGCGGTGGGGTAGCCTAATGGTTAAAGCGTTCGCTCGTCACGCCGAAGAAACGGGTTCGATTCCCCACATGGGTACAATGTGTGAAGCCCATTTCTGGTGTCCCCCGCCGTGATATTGCTGGAATATTGCTAAAAGCGGCGTAAAGCCATACTCACTCACTCACTCACTAATGGGCCGCGAATTAGCAACAACAGGTAGTAGACAACAAATATTGTTCTCCACATGTCAGCCATATGTTGTACCCCTCATGAAACAAGTCGTATGACTCTTCGAAATGATCCACAAATATTCACGGACGCCCATTCAGTTCACAATAGGTGCGCTTCAATGAAATAGAATAATATAATTTTGATGAAACATCGTGGCTACTAGCAGGAGGGCTCGCTGATTGGCTGACACATGTCATCGTATCCCAGTTGCGCAGATCGATAGTCATGATGTCAATCACTGGATTGTCTGGTCCAGATTCAATTATTTACAGACCACCGCCATATAGCTGGAATATTGCTGAGTGCGGCGTAAAACAACAAACAAACACATCCTAACAGCAAGAATATCGAGAGACAGTAATATCCCCACAATGGTGGTATTTTCCCCACTTACTTATCCAATAGGATTCCGCCACGGAATCAGGAAGTGGGCAAGGACAAAAGTCGGCCATGTTCAAAATACCTGCACAGAACAATAAAACTTATTTTAATATAGTGTCATATATTTTAATCGGTGAGAAGTGAAATTAAAATATTCTATAAAATATACAATGTCGACCAAATGGCGTATGAGACAGTCAAAACGCCACTTACATATATATGAAACATAAATGTAATCACAGCAGAGAGGTGATATGTACAACATCAACTGACGCTGTACTAATATAATAGGTACATCTAGACTGGTGAAGGAAGGACATCCAGATATTAATTATATATAGTAAACTGTTAGGAACATGAGACTAAAAAGTCTTCGCGAGAACATTTGACAAAGTAATTGACTAAGGCTTTGTCTCATAATATATGTAATGTTGTAGAATCAAACAATTCCTTTTAAATTGAAAAGGAGCCCAAGTGAGATGGGAGATTTAGAAGAACCTGGAGAAAACTAGACTTGCATCATCTAGGGCTTTATCATTGCAGAAAGGGCTGGGTGGAAAGGGGAAATTATTAGTGTTGGGAATTGGTTAAAAGCTCATAATTGATGATTGGTTCATTACAACCGATCAATCATCGAAAATAATTGGTTAGCGTCAGTTATGAAATTTGTTAATGCACAAAAAATAAGGAAAAAAATCATGTAGTTATTTTGGGGGTTTGGGCAAAATTTCACATCTTTAAAGGATGACTAGTATGTTAGGAACATAAATCTCTTGGTGTCTTTAAGATGAATTCAATCATGACTTGGAACGCTTGTAGTGCTTATGAAATGTAACAGACAAAACCAACCTTGTGAAAAATATTGTTGATGAAAACAAATGTTCCAGAATTGTTTGTGTTCGATTATGAGAAAACATGATGGATTGCTTGGTCGTTTAGTCACTGCGACCAATCTTCGATTATTTCAATTAATCGGATCACCACTAGAAATAATTCGGTTGAGGGACTGTTATACGGATTATGCATGCATATGTGTCCGTGGATGCTTGTACATAGTCCGGACTGACGTAGGGTTCGTGATGCTGGCACACTGAGGTCCCGTGCTGCGGTACAACATGTTTACCCTGCTCCGAGTGTATTGACACGCATTGGTTAATCCTTGCTTTACCCCATCAATGCCAAGCGCCAGGAAACCAGTACCATATTTTAACATCTATGATGCAACTAGGGATCGAACCCTCGATCTTCAGGTCTTCGGGCATACACTATCCACTAGGCCACGAAGAGGGACCCAGTCTGCTGAGGCGCCCTCTTCGGGCATACACTATCCACTAGGCCACGAAGAGGGACCCAGTCTCCTGAGGCGCCCTCTTCGGGCATACACTATCCACTAGGCCACGAAGAGGGACCTAGTCTCTTGAGGCGCCCTATTACATAGTTCACATGTAGATGGGATTGGATTGCTTTGTAGAAAGAACTTGTTTCGAGACAATATATGGACACAATATTTGTCTCCGGGTGGACGATAACTGATACAGTGATGGTGGACAGTGTCCCAGATGTTCATGACTTGATGATTATCTTGTTTCAAAAACTCACATTTATCGGTCATGAAGATATTCCAGTTGCAAGCGTATTTCACCACGGCTAGCCTTAATTATATAGGTATTGAAAATACATAACGGTCCGGAATATGCCCAGTGGACCTTAGACTAACGCTTAGTGTCTGAATATATATATAATGTTGGGTTTATCCTCACTGTGCAGGCAGCCTGTAGGGGATTAGAATTAGTGATGTTGTTATAAGGAAAGGGATCGTCTCATGAACTAAACTCATGGCCTACTGGGGCGTATCTGAGCCAATTACTATGTGTAGGCACAAAGTTTAGAATGCATGCATACCCTACCCCACCCCCCACACCCACCCAACAAAAGTTTTAAATATGCATGATAAAAACGCGATTTAATTTCCCGAACGTTCTACAACAAAGGTAGAAAAATAAGATTTAGTAAGAATTAGATAGATGTTAAAGAAAGTATGATTGTGTATATACTTTTTAAGTGTTCCTTTTTCATGATATGCATATTTATTTCTAATAACTGGCAGGATTGTACCTTATATTGCCATATTTTGCTTAAAGGAATTCCTTCCAATTACAACACCTATGCATGTCGAATTTCAATAATTAATCTATCAAATCCATCCAGTGTCAAGCGTGAAATCAAGAAGACACAGAAATGCGAAGTCGACATTGCGTTTACTCTAAATAGATAAAAATGGCTGTGAATGACGATGTTTTATCTCCAAACCGATCAGCTGATGTGCAAACGGAGTCGAGGTCATGTACAAATAAGAGCATGAAAAATGTTTTTTTATACTAATGGTGAAATATTAATAGATTTACTAAAATTAGAGATAATATGTATGCACACAACCATAGCTCATAGACGTACAGGGCCTGCATGAGGCCTTTTAACCTGAGTAGATGAGAAACAACGCTTGTAAACGTCAGACTGATATCAACTCACCAATTATCCATGTTCAATTAATGTCACTGAATAAAACTCAGGTTGTTAACAGCTATATATAACACAGGGAAATGTATAGTCGCTATCATTCATTCATTTTGACATTCATTCATTCATTGTTGACCCAACCCCAAATACCCACCCCAAACTCCCAACCCATTAAAACCATTACTTCCAGCCCCAACCCCACCCCACCCAACCCACCCAAACAACCCCGCTCCAAAACTGCACACACCCCCAACCCCACTCCCTCCTACATCCTCCTCCTACACACACACACACACCCCCACACACACACACACACACCCTCATTCACTGCATCACCAAAACCCCGGTCACTCCAACCTAAAAAATCCACTACACCTGTCCCTCAAAAAAACCTCACACTCACCCCACAAAAAATAAACCACAACCTAAACCTCATCATAGAATTCATCACTGCAGCAATACTTATGCAAAATCCAACAGCTGAAAAACTACACAATATTGCACGCAAACACAAAATATACCACAAAAGTCTAGCCAGTCTCATCATCGCAGTAAAATCCCTATCATAAACAACCCACCACTAAAGCTACCCTAGCACCTAAACCGCCCATTCAAAATTTCTGCCCCATCCATGGCTTTTTATAATATTCTATTCCAAATTACCGCAGTCATGGCTCTGATGCAATGGAACTGCAACGGCCTCCGAGCAAACGGGCATGAGCTTAAGGCACTCATCGCCCAAAACAAAATCTCGCCCCAAATAATTTTCTTCCAAGAGACAAAATTATCACCAAAATTTGCCTTCAAAATCCCAGGCTACATTTATATCAGGAAAGACAGACCTCGGCCAATAAACCTCCCAGGACCCCCAGCTGGGGGCCTGGGGATATTTATTTCAAACAAACTTAACTATTCAGAAATTGACATTCCAACCACTAATCTAGAAGTCCTGGCTATAAAAAACAACAATAAATAATAAATTATTAACATTCATAAATATCTACAGAAGACCCTCTATTAAACTTATACCCCAAGATTTAGACAATATAGCAAAATTCTTAACGCCCAACACCTTTATCCTCGGAGACCTAAACTCTCACCATCCATTATGGGGCACAAAACCCTATACTGACAATAACGGCTTACTTCTACCTAACTGGCTAGACGACCACAACCTCATCACACTAAATGATAACCAACCTACCAGATACCCTCTCTCCCACGTCCAATCACCCACAGCAATAGACCTAACAATCACCACCCCTACATATACAAAATCTTGCCTATGGGAGGTACACTCAGACACCTGGGGCAGTGACCACTGCCCCATAAAAATTACCATATC